TCTTCTCTCCTCTGCTCTTCTCTCCTCTGCTCTTCTCTCCTCTGCTCCTCTCTCCTCTGCTCCTCTCCTCTCCTCTCCTCTCCTCTCCTCTTCTCTTCTGTTCTCTCCTTTCTCTCTCTCTCTCTCTCTCTCTCTCTCCATCCCTCCCTCCATCAGCCTGAGAATTGCTTCGAGGTATCGGAGGCATCCGAGAAAACCTCACGTTGCGAGAACTGCCGAGAAAAAACGGCCGCGCAAATCCACAAGCTTGAAGCAGCAGCAGCTGCACAAGCTGCGTCACACGCCTTTTTCTGTTCAATTGATCGACATTGCCCCCACGATTCGCAAGCGCCACTACTCCACTCTCGCATTGCAGCCGCAGAAGCAGCCAAGGCTGGACCACTCCTCGTGGGAGCTTCGTCATGGCAAATCACAAAAATACGTCGTTTGACTCCAGGCCCCTGGTCATTCCACTTGTTCATCGTCGTTGACATGAGCATCGCACAAATAACATTCACGACCTCACCGTCTTGATGGAATCATCATCATCACCACCATCATCATCATAGTTCTTAACTGCATCACCGTGAAAACCATCAGCACTACCACCACCGAATCATCACCACTATCATTGCCAGCCTCATCATCATCATCATCTTTCTTTCTTTCCATACGCTCATCGAGTGATGATGGCGTGGATCCTTTTGATCCGCCTGGTCCCCGTAGGGACAACCAGCTCCAGCTTTCAGCTGAAGGTCATGTCAAGCAAGCGAGCCAGATTTGATCTGGCTTGTGCTGGTTGACTCCTGCGTAGAGCTAGGTGCAAAATGCCAAATTGGCGAAGGCAGGGACACGGATGGTCCTCAGTCAGCTCAGTGGTGTAGTAGGGCTGGCAAGCGCACCACCGAGTAGGATGGGCTTTCGCGCTGAAGGCTGCTCCACACTTCTCTGCAATCGGTTGGGATGCTTCCCAAAGTTCTCGATGTGCCACTTCAAGGTGCGCATTCATGTCACGAGGCCGACTTTGGCAGATGATGCACTTCTTCACCAGCCGATGGCATAGCCCCGGGTGGGCCACCAGGATGTCAGCATCAAGCCTGTCTATAGCCTGGAGCCATTTGTGGTGCCAGTCATCATTGATGGAGGGGTCATGGATGATGTTTGCAAGCTTCTCCTCCTCAGAGAGAATTGGAGATTCCTCCGTCAGATTTGAGACTGGTTCTGCGCCCCCATGCGGCGTGCAGTTGAGCCATACAAAACAGCAGTTCTCCTGAATCACGGTTGGGATCCTGTCGAACTTCTCCGGCACGGAGCCGTCGTCGAAGACCCACCAGTAGCCGCCGGCCAGGACCGCCGTGCAATAGTGTCCACAGGTGGGCTCCGATCCCAAATGATAGGATACTGCCGTGACCACAAATGGAATGTGGTCGATGCCAAGTTTGTTGTTGTAGAAGAAGGGCATCCACACCTTAGAGTCCCAGCTGAGTCTGGTTCGATTTTTCTTGCCCCTCGAGTCGAAGCGATCGATGTGAAGGCATGTGACGTCTGCAGGTTCTGTCAACCCATGGAGACCGAAAGATGCCAGGCTCCAGTTGGAGATCAAACCTTGCAAATCGGTGGGCAGCAATCCATTCTTTTGCTCACTGCAGATGTATAGATGCAAAGGGCACCCCAGGGCACTTTGATCCACCACTCGGATTTCCCCATCCTGTTCCAGCCGGGATTCCCAACAACAACTGAGAAAGTTGGGGTTCAGCTGTTGAAGAAGATGATGAGCGAAATCAATGACATCATGTTGTCTAAAAGGTTCCGGCCACGTGGAAAGTAAGGTGGTCCATTGCCCATCTGCCCACAGTAGAAGTG